TCTTGTTTCTGATCTTGGAGGTAAAGCATTCAGTCTTTGACCTTTGAGTCTGATTTTAGTTGTAGGCTGTTCATAGATGCCTTTTATCTGGTTGAAGAAGTACAATTCTATTCTAATTTTACTAAGAATTTTTTATTAGATTTTTGTCAAGTACCTTTTCTGTGTTGATTGAGATAATCATATAGTTTTTCTTTTTAAAATTAATATAGTGAATCACATTACCTGATTTTTAAATGTTCAGCCAGTCTTGCATTGCCGAGATAAACCTCACTTGACCCATGATGTATTCCCTTTTATATATTGCTGGGTCTAATTTGCTAACTTTTGTTGTGAATTTTTTTTTAATCTGTGTTTCTGAGGCATATTTTCTTGTAACATGTTTGTCTTATTTTCTTAGCAAATTCACACAGAAAGAGTCAGCAAGTATTCTCTCTTCTTCAATTTTCTGGGAGAGGTGGTGTGGAATTCATATTCTAACTTCCATAAATATATGGTACAATTCCATATATGGTACAATTCCATCTAGGTCTGGAGTTTTCTTTTTTAGGCTTTTAAAATATAAATTCAGTTTCTTTAATAGATATTAGGCTATTTTTCTCCAGTGAAATTTCTTTGCTGCTCTTGAGTAAGCTTTGGTAATTTGTGACTCTAAAGGAATTTGTCCATTCATCTATGTTGTTGAATTTTTTGACATAAAGGTACTCAAATTGTTCTATTGTTAACCTTTTAGTATTTGTAGAATCTGTAGTGATGTCTGCATTCTCAATACTGCTAATGCTGATTTGTGTCTTCTCCCACTTTTCCTGATTAGCCTGATTAGAGGTCATGTTACTGATCTTAAAGATCCAGCCTTTGGTTTCATTGACTTATCTATTTTTCCATTTTTATTTCATTGAATTATGAGTTTAGCATTATTATTTATTAATATTTTTCATCTGTTTATGTTTAGTTTAATTTACTCTTCATGTTTATGAAGGTTAATGAAGGTGGTTAATTTAAGACCCTTCTACTTTCCTAACATAGGTATTTCATGCTATAAATTTTCTCCATAAAGACTGCTTTTATGTCATTTTTAATTTTTTATATGTTGTGCTTTTATATTAATTCAATTCAAACTACTTTCAAATTTCCTTTTTTATTTCTTTGACCCAGGTTGTATTTAGAAATGTGTTGCTTAGTTTCTAAATATTTGAACAAATGATCTCTTTCTGTTATTGATTTATGATTTAATCCATTGTGGTCAAAGAAGAATATGCTTTGTATTACTTCACTCCTTATAACTGTATTGAAACTTGTTTTATGACCCCAAATAAAATCTGTTTTAGTCAATGTCCATGTACACTTGAAAAATATATGTATTCTTTTTTGGGTAGAATGTTGTAATAAATGCCAAATCAAGTTGCTTGATGATGTAGTGCAATCTTCTATATCCTTAGTGATTTTCTGCCTCCTTGGTGTATCAATTATTGACAGAAATAATTAATCACCTGACTATAATTGAGGATTTATTGATTTTTCCTTACAACCCAATCCATTTGGGGGCTTATATTTTGAAGCTGCTATTGTATATATAAACATTTGGGTGATTATGTCCTTCTGATGAATTAACCCCTTTATCATTATGAAATTATTTTCTTTATCCTTGGTAATATTCTTTGCTGCAAAATCTACTTTGATATTAATATAGTTACTCCACATTTGATTTTGATTAATTTTTGAATTTTCTATCCTTCCACATTTAATCTCATTGTCAATATTTAAAGTGAATTGCTTGTGAGCTACCTGTAGTTGAGTTTTGACTTTTTATTCACTATGATGATCTCTGTCTCTTAATTGGGGTATTGAGACCACTAAAATTTAATGAGTTAGATTTAGTTCTATCTCCTTGCTGTTTTCTCTCGGTCCCATCTGTACTTTGTTCATCTTTTCCCCTTTTTCTGTTGGATTATTTTTCTAACTCCATCTAGTCTCTCTTGTTAGCTTAATAATTTGAAAATCTTGCTTTTGTTATTTTAATGGTTGCCATAGCTTTGTACTATATGTTTTTAACTTATCTCTATCTTCAAGTAACATTATACCCATGTACATCTTCACAATTCACAATCTCATCCCTGCCTTTCAGATCTAGATTTCCATTTGCTTTTGTTTTCCTTCCTTCTGAAAGATTTCCTTTAACATCCCCTTGAGAACATAGCAGTGAAAGTTTGCTGGTGATTAACTGTTGCAGGTTTTACTTTTGAAGTAAGTTTTACTGGTACTAAATTTGAGATTTACAGCTTTTTTTTYCCCTTTCCTTTCCTTAAAAATGTTGCTTCACTCTTTCCTGATATCCTTTTTCCTCCAAGAAATCTTTTAAAGTACATAATGTTTTCTCTCCTCCCCCCCACTTTTGATTACTTTTAAACTTTTCTCTTTCTCATGTTTTTGAGCAATTTGGTCACTAGGTCCTTGGTGTGGTTTCTTCACGTTACTTGTGTTTATTGCTTGTTGAGCTTCCGGGATGTCTAGCTTTATACTTTTCTCAAATTTGGAAAAACTTTGACCATTAGTTTTCCCCATATTGTTTCTGCCCCACCCCACCCTGCTCCAATTCTCTTGCCTTTAGAGACTTAAATCTCATTTATATTGAGTAACTTGAAGTTGCTTCATAGCTTGGTGATTTAGCTTCAATTTTGATTATTTCTATTGCAAATCTGCTTACCTTTCATCTGTAATATCAAATTTGCTTTTGATCCTACTGTATTTTTCATCTCACTCATTATAATTTTCATATCTCCTGTTCATTTATATATATATATATATATATATATATATATATATATATATATATATATATCTTCCATGTCTCTATTTACCTTTTTTTTTCTTTTTTGATACCAGGGATTGAATGCAGGGTCACTTAACCACTGAGCCACATCCCCAGCCCTTTTTGATATTTTATTTAGAGACAGGGTCTCACCAAATTGCTTAGGACCTTGCTAAGTTGCTGAGGCTGCCTTTGAACTTGCAATCCTCCTGCCTCAGCCTCCCAAGCCACTAGGATTACAGGTGTGCACCACCATGCCCAGCTCTATTTACCCTTTTAAACTGATGGAATACAATTATTATAATTGTTTTAATGTATTTTTTTGCTAACTCAGCATCTGTGCTAATTTGGGGTCAGTTTTGATTAATTGATTATTCTCTCTTTTTTTTTCTCTTTCTCATCTAACATTTTAATTTTTGTTTTTGAAGTAATGTTAAAATAAATGCTTTTTAAAATAAATGTTGAAATTAAATTTCCTATGAATAAAATGCTGTGTTTTAAAATCTAAAAAAGAAATGAGGAAAATCAAAGGATGGGTACCAACAATATGTAAAGCACAGGAAATCAAAGACAAAATCAATCTCAGTTGATGTTCTTTTTTTTTCCCTGAACTGTTCTGGTTAAACAGTCTATTCTTTTTGATGATTGGCAATTTTAGACAAACAGAAAAACCATTATTGTATGTTCTGTACATCTCTAGGTGGTAGAGTTTCCACTGCAACTTTACAGCCACATCAATGTTTATAGCAGCACAATTCACAATAGCTAATCTGTGGAACCAACCTAGATGTCCTTCAATAGATGAATGGATAAAAATATATGGCATATATACCCAATGGAATATTACTCAGCAATAAAAGAGAATGAAATCATGGCATTTGCAGGTAAATGGATGGAGTTAGAGAAGATAATGCTAAGTGAAGTTAGCCAGTCCCAAAAAACCAAATGCYGAATGTTTTCTTTGATATAAGGAGGCTGATTCATAGTGGGATCGGGAGTGGGAACATGGGAGGAATAGACAAACTCTAGATAGGGTAGAGGGGTTGGAGGGGAAGGGAGAGGGCATGAGGTTATTAATTATGGTGGAATATGATGATCATTATTATCCAAAGTACTGGTATAAAGACACAAATTGGTGTGAATATACTGTGTATACAACCATAGATATGAAAAATTGTGCTCTACATGTGTAATAAGAATTGTAATGCATTCCACTGTCAAATATAAATAAAACAAAKATTTATTTAAAAATAATTAAATAAATATAATTAAATGATTATTCTCTTTATAAAGGGCCTTGTTTTCCTGCCTCTTTTATGATTTGTTAGATGTGTCTGAATAGTGCTCAGTGTAGGGCTAATTATTCCCCACTGTGGAGATTAAACTTCCAAGTACTTTGCCCAATGCCTCATGAGTTGTTTTTCTATTCTAGATTGTAGGAGTAAGCACTGCTAGCCCTGAGTGAGTGCTAGGCATTGTTCTTTTTAATCCTATTGGAGAATTCTTTTCTCTATATTCCAGAGTAGTTGCTCAGTAGATGCTGATCAGTATCTCTCTCCATACTTGAGTGGTCCCTATGCTTACCTCCAGAGTCCTCTCTCTGGGCAGTCTTCTACAGTAATCTGTCCTGTTAACTCTGCCATCTTAGTCACCAAGACACTCAGCTTAATATCCTCAATTTACATAGTTCACTGGGTCGCTTCTAGGTGCACAGCGTCTTGATACTCTCTCAAAGCAATGAACTTGGATGATCTTGGGTTGAACTTTATTTTTTCCACCCACCAGGAATCACTGTCTTATTGCCTGAGTCCTGTTTCTTGAAACCATTGTTTCATAGCTTATCTGTCTGTGGGTTGTTGATTTGTTTTGTTTACTGGTTGACTGGTCATTTTAAGCAGTAAGGATATTACTCCTTTTTAGCCAGAAGTTGAAGATTTAACAACAGTCACTTATTTTCTGCCTCAAGCTCAGTTGCAATTCAGTTGATCCAATATGAACCCATTGAGAGCTGTTGGGGCTCAGCTAATTTTACTGGTGATATTTTGGGATATAATGCTACTAATTTCAAGCCAGTCATAGATATAATGACGAAATTTTTAGATTTTAACCTCAGTTTCTAGGAAAAAAAAATATATTTCTAAAAAGTAACTGTGGAAATTATCATTTAACCCCTTTCTTTTTTATTTAAATTTAGAGGACAATGTATCAAAAAATATGCAAGAATCACAGGAATCCCACTTAACCAACCACCTAGATGAAGTTGTTGCTGCTGTCAGCATCACTCCTAAATCGAAGATCCAAAACAAGCTGCCCCAGACAGTGCTGTTCCAGCCACCACGAGAGAAACTCCACCTCTGTGAAGAGAAAGCAAAGTCCTTTTCCAGCAGTCACGATGTAAGGAACCTTTTACTTCCTTTCCTCTACTCTGGAAATTGGGCTATCATGCATGACCAAAAGAAGTAGAGTACTTTAGATGACATTCCTAATCTCAGGAGTGTCAGTGCCTTTATTGTAGCATGAGTGACTGTAGGCCCTCAGGGCTCCAAGCCCAGCAGTTGGTGTGGTCAAGGATAAATATGTTTTGAGCTTTTACCACATGTCTGGTAATGCAACACAATGCAGGTGCAACACTATAATGCAACACAACACAGATGAAGCTTCTAGAGCTTAGAATTCCTTGTCTTTAATCTTCTTGGTCTGTGCACAATTCTTTCTCATCCTCACCTCAGAAGTTTTTTGATTTCTCCCCCCCTCCCCCGCCTCAGAAATTTTATTCATTTACTCATCCAGGCCGTTMATTTATTTCACATTCATTTATTTCACAAATGCCCATTGTATACCTAATATGTGCCAGGTGCCATGAAGGTGCCAAGGGCCCAGAGGGGAAAGCACAGCCAAGAGCCCAGAGGGATAGATCACTGTTGATAATGGTAGTCAGTGTGATAAGTTCTGAGAGAGACACAAACTGCAGAAGACATACATGCAAAAACAGAATGGGGTAGGCAGTAAGCCTGGAGTGGGTGCAGGGATAGCAAATAAAGCACACTTTTAGGATGGAAGTTGCTTGATCGGCACTAGTTATAGTGCTTAGGAGTTGGCCAGGTGACACAGAGGACAAAAGTGTTCTGGGAAAAAGTAATAGATGCTGAAGAGCTATGAACCTTAGGGGGCACAATCCAACTAGGGAACGACAAGAAGCTGTCTAGGATAAAGTTTCTCGTGACATAGGGACATGAAGCTGGATTATGGGTAGGATCTGGGCCTGGAGGACACTCAGTGCCCAGAAAAAGAGTTTTGATTTCTCATAAAGCTACTTGAGGAATTTTCTAGGATTCTAAACAGGAGAAAGCTATGAGCAGGTTTGAGTTTAAGAATGATCGTTTCTGCAGACTTTCGGAGGATGTACGAGAAAAGAATGAAATTGGAAGAAGAGGAGAATGTATGTCATTATCCTGGCAAGGGATTATGAGGGCCTGAACTAAGTGGGACAGAGACAGCAGAGGTGCTGAGACCTTTTGAAGGGAATGTAGAATTGAAAATTGGTGGGACTGGATGATCAAGGGAACACAGGAGAAGGAGAGCCAGGCAGATGGGGTGTGGAAGACCCTAAGTTAGATCTCAGTTTGCTCAGATGATTGGAGGCTTTGCCTGTGCCTTTCACCCATAAAGTGAATATAGTAGAAGAGCAAGATTAAAGCAAGAGGTCATGAATTGGTTTTGAGTGTGTGCTTATTTATTTGGTACCTACCATGTGCCAGGCCCTATGGTAGGTAGGATTTTGGTCAGTAGTTTTCCTCAACCAAAGTTCTACAAGAGAATTAATCCTAATGCCCAAAGGCATTTAGCGTATATAAAGAACTATCTTCTCTGTTATGTGTCCAGATGGTACTAAAACATTTCTGTGATCTCTGGTTCTTGGGACACCAAAGTGAACAGGACAAAGTACATGCCCTCATGGAGCTACAGGGCAATTGACATTGTCAGTAAACCAGATAGTGGGCCCACTGTGGTCGGGGAGGGCCTCTGTGAGGAGGTAACAAATGAGCTGAGAACTGAGAAACAGAAGAACCAGCAGGGAAGAAATGAGTTTAGGGATAGGAAAGAGCACAGGTAAAATCTGCAAGGTAGGCACAAGTGTTAGGAGTGGAGGTACTGGGCTACAATGCAGTGTGGTTGGACAAACCATCAGTTCACTTAGGGCCTTGAGGATTGAGTGCTTTGTTTCCTGGAAGATCCTGAAAGAATCAATGGGGATCCACATGGTGTTCTTTACTTTTAAAAATATTCATTTTGGGGACTGGGGCTATAGCTCAGTGGTAGAGTGCTTGCCTAGCATGTATAAGGTACTGGGTTCGATCCTTAGCACCACATAAAAATAAACAAATACAAAGAAGATATGCTGTCCTTCTACAACTACAAAAAGTTTTTTCAGAAATATCCATTTTGGGGGCTGGGGTTGTAGCTCAGTGGTAGAGCGCTTGCCTTGTACGTGTGAGGCCCTGGGTTTGATACTCAGCACCACATAAAAATAAATAAATTAAAATAAAGATACTGTGTCCATCTACAACTAAAAAAATTTTTAAAATATCAATTTTGGAAAAAATATCCATTAACTTTATTTTATAATAATTTTTGAGTTAGGTTAGGTTAGTTTTCACCAGTTGTTAACATCTTCTTTATGCTTTTTTTAGGGCTTATTGGGTTTTTTTGTTTGTTTGTTTTTTTGTTATTCTTTTCTTTTTTTTTTTGTTTGTGTTGTTGTTGTTATTGTTTTTTCAGGTGGGGTGAAATCCAGGACCCCATGCTTGTTAAGCCCACTCTGCCACTAAGCCACACCCCCAGCCCACTTTATTATTCACCTTTATTCTTTCTCTCTTTATCTCCCTCTCTCTTTCACTCCTCATGTTTTATCTGAGAGTAGGTTACAGATATTATGATCCTTTACCTCTAAATACTTCAGTCTATTCCCTAAGAATAAGGGTTAGAATTAAGAAATTATTATTAGTATAATGCTATTACCTAGTCTATAAGCCGTATCCATATTTCTCCATGAAAAAGTCATTTTTTGGGAAAAAAAATCAGATCCATAGTCCAATCCATGATTTCATGTTGAATATAGATATCATGTCTCTTTAGTTGCCTTTAATCTGCAACAGTGAACCCATTTTTGTCTTTCATRGTCTCAGTGCTTTCAAAAAGCACATTCCAACTATTTTGTAGACCATCTCTCCATTTGAATTTGTGTTATCTTTCCTTGTGATTCAACTCAGATTATGCATTTGAGGCAGGAGTAGCACAAGCACAACTCTAGAGCCTTCTGGGTGCATCATAGGAGGAGGTACATAGGTCTATTGGTCTCATTACTGTGATGCTAACCTTGAACACTGGGTTAAGGTACTGTCCGACAGGCTTGTACATTGTAGAATTACTATTTTTCCCTTTGTAAGTAAGTATTTTGTGGGGAGATGCATCAAGATTGTGTATATACTTAAAACTTCACCCCTTAGTTTTAGCATCCACTGATGATTCTCACCTGAATCCATCATTACTATGAGATTTGTCAAATAGCAAATCTCTGACTTTGGTATTCTTTCAGCATTTATTTGTTTGCATTCCATGTAAGAGCTTTCTCTTCTTCACATTTCATTTGCTGTTCATTTATTATATCAATACAAGTTCAGAAAATTGTGTTTTACAACCCATCATTTTTATCAAAGCTTGAATTGTCCAATATTTCCAGTGGGAGCCCCTTCAAGCTGGCTAAGTCCCTGATTTACCACTCACTCTTTGAGTACATTCTTAAGTTATGACACAGTAAGATTTTTTAGGTTCATCTTGGGCTTCCTTGTTCCTTATATCCATACAAGCTAGTCAAAGAGTAAAACATTAAGTAAAAACTAAATATCCAGTAACAGTGGATTGAGTAACTCAATTATGTTTTGTCTAAGCAATAAAATGCTGTGCAGCCATTAAAACATTTATCATAGAAGATGACATGGAGGATGTTCATAAATTTAGAACAACAGGTTGCAAACCTACAGCTTATGAGTCTGTTTTGAAAAAGAAAAAGTATGTAGATAGATTCATGAAATTAATGAATAAAGGGATATTTAGTTACCTCATTATCTCCAGAAGGTGAGCTTGCAGATGATGTTTAGTTTTCACCTTTTTGCTCTTTTGCATTTTGACAAGCATGCACTACTTTTGTAATAAGAAATATGATACTGTAGAAAACGGCCATAGCCCCACCTTCTTTCAATGCTATGGGGTAAGCATCCTCCCTCACCTTCCTCCTATTGGGTCACAGAAGTGACTCTCCTGTGRTTAATTGGATGTGTGTTTTTGTCAAGAAAAAAAATATTGTTTCAGGGTTAAAGTGTTTCTAGTTGGCATTGCCCAACATGCACACTGGGTCTTCTAGACCTTCTCCACAACTCTATTCTCATTCCTATTTTTCTTCCTCTTTGCCCACTTCAGCTGGTTTTTATTAGGTGTCTTACCTCCCATCTCTTCTCTTGCTATTCTTGCTAATCTGTTGCTACTGAACACCCTAAAACTTAGTGAGTGAAACAAATCATTCATTTTACTCATGAGCCTGCAATTTGTGCATAGCCCAGTGGAGTCTGGTCAGCTGTGCTTCATGTAGTATCTGCTGGCCTAGGTGGGCATAGAGACTCTACTGTCAAGATGGCTCACTCATATGGTTGACAGAGCCATTGAGTGGATTAATTGGTGTTAGCAGTTCATGCCTTTCCACGGAGCCACTTAGTCTTCCTCGTGGTAAAGTGGTTGGGTTCTGTATTACTTTACTTTAGGGCTGCCATGAAAAAAATACCACAGGCTGTGGGTCTTAAACAGCAGAAGTGTAGTTTTTTGCAGTTCTGAAGGTTGGAAGTCCATGAAGGGGTTGATAAGATTGATTTCATTCTGACGCTGTTCTCCTTGGCTTCCAGATGGCTGCTCTGTGTCCTCACGAGGTCTTTTTTTTCTGTGCACATGCATCCCTGGTTTCTCTTTCTCTTCTTATGTAAGGACATCAGTCATATTGGATTAGGACCTTCTTAATGGCCTCATTTTAATTTTATCACCTCATATCTCCAAATATGGTTGCATTCTGAGGTACAGGACATTGAAACTTCAACATATGAATTTGGAAGGGACATAATTTAGCCCATGTTCAGGTTCCAGGAGTGACACCCAAGAAGAAAGAGAAGTGGAAGCCATCAGTTCCTTAAGACTTGGGCCTGAAAACTGGCACCACGTCATTTTCTCCACAACAGCAGGAGCTGTTAATGGAGGTACAATTGGAAAACCTAGGGGATGATTACATGTCTGTTCTACTTTTTAATTTTTTTTCTTTATCCCATTACACTTTTTACTTTTAAATATACTATAAGTTGTATTCATTTCTTATGTTTACTAATTATTTCACCTGACCATATGAGCACTCTACCACGTAAAATGAATCAAACAGTCTCAAAGTTAAGATCCAAAATGAAGGGGACATAGACATCCCCACTCATCTCTGGATGGAAAGAATGTCAAAGAATTTCAAAACTGTGTTTTAAAATTATCAGCCTTGCTTTGAATATGTAGCTCCTCTGGGCTGACCTGAAGCTGGGAATCCACGRTTCTTATTCTTTTTGTCCTAGCTCTGAATGAAAATGTGCTTCCCACTGCTTTAATAAAGTCTGCTTGCCAGTCCTGCTGATTTTATTTGCTATGCTACTGACATAGGCTGTGAAGGAAGATTTCAAATCAAGAATGAAAATGTGTCATTTGAAAACCACTACCAATTGCCCACTTGTACCTGAATATGCAGGAGCCGTTAATGGAGGGACGGTTGGAAAACCTAGGGGATGATTACATGTCTGTTCTACTTTTAAATTTTTTTATTTATTCCATTGCATTTTTCACTTTTAAATGTACTATAAGTTGTATTCATTTCTTATGTTTACTATTTATTTCACCTGACCATATGAGCACCCTGCTATGTAAAATGAATCTTTTTTTGTGATGTATCCCAAGTGCCTAGAGCCATGTTGAGAACATATTAGAAACTCAATAAATGTTGCATGGATAAGAGTGTAAGTAGATGTTATACTTTGTAATTCTTGAGTTTTAAGCCATCTAACTAATAAGCTCATTTCTTTTCCTAATAGTATAAACAGGCTGTCAAGGAGCTTGTGCGTTATGTAGCATTGGCAAGAATTTGTTACGGCAACTCCCATTGGAAAATAGCAGAGGCACATGTCAATCTGGCTCAAGGGTACCTCCAGATGAAAGGTGAGCTCATCTCAAGTGGAGGAGGACCGGTTAGTTGGTGACTGATATGCTCCCCAAATCTGATTCACACTTAACTAGAAGGACTAGGTATTGGATATTTTCCTCAAATATTGAGAAGCCATTTCCTTGTGAGTTAATAAGGCATATAACATAATAATAATCAAAGGGAAAAGGGAAGGAAAACTGTGATCTTTGGGTTTTGTTTTTTCATGATCTTAAGATTAGGATTCGGGGCTGGGGTTGTGGTTCAGTGGTAGCACACACGTCTGGCATGTGTGAGGCACTGGGTTCGATCCTTGGCACCACATAAAAATAAATAAGTAAAAGAGAGGTATTGTGTCCATCTACAGTTTAAAAAAAATAAATATATATATATAAAAAGATTAGGGTTCTTAGGAGACAATCTATTGGGCAGAAGGTATTTCGGGAAAAACAAAACAAAACAAAACACAAGGCAAGGAATAAGGGAATCCATTCACATTTTTTTGTTTTGTTAGTACCAGGGATTGAACCCAGAGGTATTTAACCAGTGAACCACATCCTCAGCCCTTTTTCATATTTTATTTAGAGAAAGGATCTTGCTGAGTTGCTTTAGGACTTTGCTTAGTTGCTGAGGCTGGCTTTGAAAACTTGCAATCCTCCTGCTTCAGCCTCCCAAGCCATTAGGATTAYATGGGCCACTGCACCTGGCTATTTGCATTTTTGATGGAGAGTCTCTTGACTCTAAATAACAATAAATAAATAAATAAATAGATAGATAGGTAGATAGATAACAAATTGGCATAACTAAAATGTATTGGCTTATACAACTTAAAACTCCAAGGGTAAGGCTTCCTTTAGACTTAGCACATCTGATGTTCAAACAAAGTGGCCAGGTTTCCATTTCTCTTTTCTCAGCATTGGTTCTATTTTTCTTTGCTTTTTAAAAATATTTTCTATTTGTTCTTTTTATATATAAAAAATATACTTTGACATAGTATACATACATAGAGTATAACTTTGACATAGTATATACTTTGACATAGTTTACATACATAGAGTATAACTTATTCTAATTAGGATCCCATTCTTGTGGTTATACATGATATGGAGTTACTCTGGTCATATATTCATATATGGACATAGGAAAGTTATGTCTGATTCATTCTCCTGTCTTTCCTATTCCCATCTCCACTGTCTTCCCTTCATTCCCCTTTGTCTAATTCAATGAACTTGTATTCTTCATCCATATCAGAGAGGATATTTGGCCTTTAGTTTTGGGGGGATTGGCTTATTTCACTTAGCATGATAGTCTCCAGTTCCATCCATTTACCAGAAAATGCCATAATTTCATTCATGTTTAAGGCTGAGTAATATTCCATTGTGTACATATACCACAAATTTCTTTATCCATTTATCTGTTGAAGGGCACCTAGGTTGGTTCCATAGCTTAGCTATTGTGAATTGTGCTGCTATAAACATTGATGTGGCTGTGTCACTGTAGTATGCTTATTTTAAGTCATTTAGGCATAAACTGAGGAGTTGGATAGCTGGTTCAAATGGTAGTTCCATTTTAAGGTTTTTTTTTTTTTTTTTTTTTTTGGAATCTCCAGACTGCTTTCCAGAGTGGTTGCACCAATTTGCAGTCTTACCAGCAATGTATATGTGCCTTTTCCCCCACAAATTCATCAACATTTTTTGTCACTTATATTCTTTTTTTTTTTTTAATTTTTTTTTTATTGTTGGTCATTCAAAACATTACATAGTTCTTAATACATCATATTTCACAGTTTGATTCAAGTGGGTTAT